TTGAGCAAAACATGTTTGGGATTTTCATGAGCCGCTTGATGACCTGGTTGGCACTTGTTTAAAATCTCCCTCAACACCCTTTCTCCTTCATCATCCTTGGTGTTACGCCCATTTTTAGTTGGATACATGTCTCTTAAAGAGCAAAACTTGACGATTCTACCGAAATGGTCTTTTAGCTTATGACCGGCTTGAATGGAAACGGTTGACTTCCCAATTCCTGGTATTCCGCTTACTAAGACCACCGCCACGTCTTTGGTGCTATGATCTGTGAGGATATTTATAATCCTCTGGACCTCCATCGTATGGCCGTGCACATCGACTGGCGCTCTAGGCACCTCACTTTCCAGCTTATTTCCTGAGATATCAAATGAGATCCGTACATAAAAAATGTCATCGAAAAATGAAAAATTTAACCCTAACCCTGCACATACGAACAACATCGTTTGATGACTTTTTCCAAACATGTAAATACGTAGATGAAACAAAACAAAACAATCTACAAATTTGAATCTAGTGGACATTGAAACTGGAAAACAAATGTGGACTGAAGCTAGTCAAGTTGGCTTCCGAGTAACTAATAAGTAGATTATAAGACTAAAGAGACAAAGTTTAATAGCAAGAAAGGAAGAGGCACACGAAAAAAGTTGGCGTCGTCCAATTTTTGAAACAAACCTTTCTCTCTTCCTGCATCCAACATCTCATGCAACCCTTCCAGCCTTTCGTTAACTCCATCGATTTCCTCATGCAACTTCTTGCCCATCTCATCAAATTTGTCTGAAAAATAGTTCATGAGCATTATCATCTTCGAAGTAATCCTCTGCCAGAACCCACAGTAAATGACAATTCAGTTACTATGGATCATCGCATCAACACTAGCAGAGCAGAGCAGAGCAGAGCAGAACAGTTTACAAAATAAGAGCATTTATCATATCACCCCTCTGGCCCCGCTCGCACAATCCCATAGAAAACCATAGTGAAAGCCGTGGCCGGACGGGTTGACGTGAGCCGGTCCGGAAAGAGCTGTTCGGCCCGGCAAAAAGTTGCAAATAACTTAAAAGATAACAAAAATGACAAAAAAGTCGCGTTTTTCAAGGAATAGAGAGTTTCTTGTGTGCCCGTTTATCACGTCCTATTTTGATTGACATTTTTAACACATAGTGGTCATATGATAACAGGGCTGCGAATAACTCACGGCCGGCACCGGTCAAACAAGTTTTTGTTCGGACACAACCCGTTTTTGGCCGGTCAAATTGAAACAGTCGTAACTCTTGCGATAGTGAACCCAGATTGCACAGTAAACCTTCTTTTAACTAAAAAACGGAATCCAGTGGGTTGGGCAATAAAAGTTACAAGCTGATAGTTTTGCTAGTATTTATCGCAAAAGGAGCCTCGCATTCAGCGGTTACGTAAGAGACAACCGCACTTTTTTGTTCGTTTTACTTGACATCTGGCAAAATCATTTATAATTAAAAATTACATTTTGGCAATCTCCACATCAATTCTACAAAAGAACTTAAAGTAGAATGTGTAAAAGCCGAAGGATTGAATATCGATCTCTTAATTAATTTGAACAATAAGCTTACTAAAATGAAACCGGCAGCATTGTATCATATGGATGGAGTCTTATTCCAAGTACAGTTGTTGCGTTCGCTGTCTTTCTTCCATTTAGAATCTGTTAAAGACAACCTTAATCTTCCACTTTTTGTGTTTTATGCTCCCGGTACTTTAGCGTTACATAGAGTGATGAAATCACCTGAAAGCTTAGTAACCAAACATGTTTTTCAGGGTGTGCCGGAAGAAAATGCTATGTGGAGTACACTCGGTGCAGCGCGATTATTCTTCGTGAGGGTGCTTTTCGATCATTCAGTCAATCAATCAATCAATCAATCAATCAATCAATCAATCAATCAATCACTTTGTTCAAGAGTCAATGGTATCTAGCCAAAGGTAAAACCCTCTGCTTATCGAGTACACTTCAAGTAAATAAAATAACGAAGACACGATGATTTGCGGTCGCGACGCCGGGACTTTATAACATCGTGAACTGAAATTTGCGACGACCGGGAATTTCTTGACCACTTATTTGTCTGGTTTTCTAATCGTTTTCTTTTTCTTTCGGGAACATGAATATTGTCTCTCGTGATTATCAAATAAATAAAAATGAAAATCTCTCTGAACGAGTCAGTAAAAGACCGCACAACATGTCCGGCAATCCAAGGATTTGTCCGATTAATACCCAATACTGATCGGGCATTGTCCGTTGACCGGCCGTTATTTGCAGCCTTTCGATAAAATGCTTATTGACTGAGTTTCCCCAGGTCGGGCCGGGCGGTAAAATATTTGGCTCTTGGTCACGCGTTAATAAATACAGAAAAACTTCACTCCATGGTAAAAACTCACGAAACTGGGGTCAATTTAAGAGATATTTTCTAGGGAACATTTTTAAAATCCAATCAAGAGACTCAGTGTTCCTCGACATTTGCACCTCTAACTCTAGCGACAAGGATAACGATCTTACCTTCTGTCTTCTTTTCAAGGTTTTCGATTTTTTCCCTAACATCTTCCTCATCCTTGATCATCTGCCCCACTTGATCTTTNAGGTTTGCTAAGCACTCAAGAAGCTAGAGTCGCTCTCGGCTATCGCCTGGAGCGACTCTTACGCTTCTTTCGTGCTTAGCAACCTCCCGCGTGCATCCATAACTCAATAGTGTACGCTGTGGTGTTTACCGTTTGTTAAATAGAAGACTCAAAGATCATTCAGATGGAACTCAATTTTTGTAGAGTTCCTTAGCATTCATTTCCAGGGAAAAAAAGTAGAGATTGCAAAAACCAAGTGAAAGGCACGCCAGCTGTGATTAACGCCTTGGACAACCGAAGTCGCGATACTTTCTTGCCGTCGCGTGGCAAGTTTCCGGAACAAAAATATCATTTTTTGATGCTTTTCCCGATGCCTTCGTTGCTTATTAGAGCAGTGAAAGATATTTGTATAGTCGACGCTTTTGAAAACTGCTAAACTTGTTATTTAGAAAATTTCGGGATTGATACCACGGTTATTTAATACAACAACTACAAATGATTTGTCTATACGTGTCGTTTTCCTTGCCGCTTTTCTTTTACAGAACAACCTCCAAAACTTTGGTGCACCCCCTAAAAATTTACAAGAATTAATTTTCTCCTTAAAACTTCAGGAAATAGGAAAATGCTTTCGACGAAAACAGAGTTCCTCGGTTTTAAAAGTCACCCCTTATTATTTTCCGCCAATTTCGCTAGTTTTTAGACCTAGGACACTTGAGCCTGCGTTGTTGACCACATACCCTCTGACGTAGCATTTCATTATTCAGCTCTGCCTCCCTATCCACAATGGCGGCCTCACAATCCATACAGGCGGCCAGTTGGTAACATTTAGTGGAGTGCTAGTGTAAAAGTTTAATGAACGGCGTTATATCGGACAACATACCCAGGTAAGAAAACGAAAACAGTACGTACAAGGCCAATTTTTTAAGTACCTCTAAGTGCTGTGGATTATTGAATTTGCAACAAGCACCCCGGGACGCGCAGGCATCGCCATCATAAACATTTCACAAACTTAACTTGCTTTTCCTACTGAGTTGTGGTAGCATAACAATACAAATGGTGTATTAAGCTGTTCCCTGTGTAACAGGTACCCTGTGAGCAGAGCCTTTTTAACCCGTCCTCGAATCGAATCTTCTTTTCTTCTTTTTAACCCTTGAAGGATTAAAAAAAAGAAAAGAAGAAGAAAAGAAGAAAAGGCTCTGCTCGCAGGGTATGCAACAGGAAGTTCATTTGGGATACTTTATTGCATGACATTGCGCCAAAAAGATAGAAAACAGAGCAACTGACAAATTTAACAATCTGTTTAATATTTTTTCTTTTCATTTTATATCTCAAAATAAACGTCCTTAAGTTAGTTAATTAATTAATTATTGGCTTGTTCCTCAAAAAAAAAAAAAAAATTGACATGCAAGGCTGTGCTCTAAGAAATATTCAGGGAGCCTTTCGGGCTCCCAACCACTCCAG